TCTTTGACTTATGACCATTTGTTTAACAACCATTTGAAGTTACAATGGCACTGAAAAAGTGACTTACAACTGGTCCTTGCACTTACGACCATCGCAGCATCCCTGCAGTCACATGATCAAAATTTGGGCGCTTGGCAACCGGCATGTATTTACAATGGTTGCAACATCCTGGGGTCATGTGATCACCATTTGCGACCTTCCCGGGGGCTTCCGGCAAGCAAAGTCAATTGGGGAAGCTGGATTTGCTTAACAACCACATGATTCACTTAATGACCACGGTAATTCCTTAATGACTGCAGCAAAAAAGGTTGTAAAATTGGGCGCAACTCACTTAAGGACCGCATCGCTTAGTGATGGAAGTTCTAGTCCCAACTGTGGTCGTAAGTCGAGGGCTACCTGTATGTGTATACACACACACATACATACACACATATGCACATATATATATACGGATTATTAGGCTACATCTCATCTATGAAAGAAGCATCAAGTGGCAGCAATCCTGTTACTGGAGATTCTAGCAATACTGGAGCCAGTGATTCCACTCTGACTTGGACTGACCTGGCAAGTCCACAGGACCCTTCACCCACATCACTGATAATCTCTTAGACTCGGAAGTTAGTCCTAGGCAGAGGCATTTAATGAAGACCTAGAACGAGAAGGCTGGACTTTGCAGATCTGGGAGGCTGGCCATGCGAGTGCTAAAAGGAGAGTAGACTCTGCAGCTACTGTTTGATGGGTGGGGGTTCAGCATGGCTTATTTATCATACAAACTCCCTTCGGACAATGTTGAGAACAACTTATCAAAAACTCAGCTCTTGCCTGTGAATATCCTGCATTGCTATGTTTTAGATGTTAGATTTCTTCTGATCTCTTCTCTTGCTTCTCCAGCAGATTTGTTACCTAACTGATAGCTTACTGGTCTCAATGCCTGTTTGACCATGACAGTACAATCTATCCACAAAGGTACTGTAAAAACACTTTTTCAAAAGCTGTTTTATTCTAGTTAACTGCAATAGAGCCTGAACTTCCTTATCTCTGGCCTGTGGCAGATTTATAGCTTGCTAACTTGCTTCCTGGCAGCCAGCCGTGCTGGCACAGAAAGAGAACTCACGAGAATCAGATGTGTAAATTCCAAGAAATTCTCAGATGCTATTGTCATGTTATTTGGGGTTTAATTGCTGTCTAAGTTTTGAGTTCTGAAAATGGTAATACATATATCTGTATTGCACACTTATGGTAAACGATGATTTACTAATTAACCCAATTTTCTGGTTTTCATGACTTACAACCATACATTAACCATACCAATTTTGTTTGTACAACATCCTAGGCTAAAATAGGGTTGGCTAGTTTGTGACTCAGTATGTTAAGTGAATCCAGTCAAGACAGATTTCAAGACTACAAATACCTTGGAAAGGCAAATCCTAGATTCTCTGGCTTATAAAAATAATGCCAGAAAGAGTTTTTCTCTTGAGAGTAGAAGTTTAAAATGCTGTTCTCTAAAAATGAAATGTAGCATAGCTAGAAAGTTAAAGTACTAAAATGGCACGGGAGTTGTAAAGTACTTGTTTTGAAGCATTGTTTGCACAAACAACTCAGCCACATGTAACCATGGGAAAAGTCAAAACTATGTTGCCTTCCAGCAAATTTTAGCATATACAAAAACAAGCATGTATAGATACTGCTCTGCACTGCTCTTGGGTATACAATTGTGGTCTGTGTAGCCATTACGCCTTTCTAGAGACTCTCCCTCCTTGTAGCTCCACTCCTGGGTTTGTAGCTGAGAAACATCCTTTTTTAAACACACAAGCAAGCCAGATACATATGCCATTGCTTACATGTTCTATTAAGCTTCTGGCATCCCTAATTTACTTTTAGGATAGTTTATAGTGTCTGCTTGTATTTACAGGCTGTCAGATTGCAATAAAATAACCAAGGAAGCAGAGACAAAGAGGCCATGGCATCTATACCTGCTTTTTCCATGGTACTTTGATAAGCAGCAGCCCCCATTCACCATGCCCAGTTCAAAAGTTAACTGTGTGCAAGCTTAAATCAACATTGTGTGTTCTGGACAGAGTGCTTTAAGATTTGGCAATGCCGTTCAATCTTACTCAAGCGTGAACATTCAGGTTTGTTCGTTTGTTTTAATTAAAAGCAAGCATGGGGATGGATTCATTAGGATAGCAACACAGAGACAACAATCTGTTCTCCTTTCCCCCTTCTTACAGCTGCCACAACCCTAAAAGGAAAGCTCCCATTAGCTTGCTTTCATCTTACAGCTAATTAAGGGGTTTTTTTGGAGTCAGGGCAGCTGAAGAAAAAAGATCAGTGAAAAACTTTGCTTCTTACATGTTATTGTTCTGGTGAAAATCCTCTGCCCCTCTTTTTAAAACCCTAATGCAATGATTAAAGATACATCTAGTACACATTTCTGCCTAACTACTTGCCCAGCTAAAAGATGAAACCAAGTAGGGAAAGCCTGCAGAGCGTGGCTTCTGAAATTCTTCCAACCTGTTTACCAGCAATGATAATAGAAATCATCTGTATTTCCTTCTGGGCAGTGAAGTAACACGTTTGTGTTATACATGCATTGGGAAGCTGGAGTGTGCTTGGCTGTACATACTCTGCTCTGGGTCATGTGACTGAGAGGAATGGAGAACACTTAGAATGGAGCAGTCACGAACATTCCAAGCCACTGCTGAATGGCCTCTCCTATAGGGACATATTAAGGAAATCAACCCTGACTGCTCATTGGAAGGATTGATAATGAAGCTCAAACTCAGATATTTTGGTCACCTAATGCGAAGAGAGGACTCTTTGGAAAAGACCCTGATGCTGG